GCCACTACTGCCCTAACATTTAAAACTGTGATACCTCTGAAAGAAAAATGCTTGTTAAGGCTCCAGAATTCTTTTCTGAGAGCTAACAATGTCACAGAGTAAATTTGGAGTCACGCTGCAACAAATCCATACTGCTAATGTTCTCTTTTAGTACTGTGGCTACCCGGAAACATTACAAATTGTGAATGAAATAATTCACATGTTTTGTTATATTTCCTTTTCTGATTCCTTCCCACCCCACCAGAAACTAACTCCTATGGGAACAGGGATTTTGTCTTATTTTTAAGTACTGAGTGTGTATGGATGGTGGTTTTGAACAAAGATGGACCCTCTCCTTAAGAAAAAAAAATGTCACCACTGAGGGACACATTCTGGGAATGGGAGATAGTACACTAGTGTGGTTACATCTTAAGTGTCCCCCGCAAGGACTTTGAGTTAAAGGTTGGGTTCCCAGCGAGGTGATGTGACTTTTGGGAGATTAGTGCCAGTGGAAGGCATTCAGGTCCATAGGGAAATATCCTCAAAGAATACAGTGGTACCCAAGACCCTTCTTCTTTCTCTCCTTCCTTTTCCTAGCCAAAAGATGGTCAGTTTTGCTCCAGCACACTCTCCTGCCGTGGTGTGTTGCATCACCACAGACCTAAAAACACCAGGGCTTGCCCATCATGTATGGGAACCTCACGATGGCTGCCAAGCCTGAGATCCTGAGTTCATTCCCTGGGACACACATGGTGCAAGGAGAGAGCTGACTCCGGAGGTTGTCCTCTCACACGCCATAGCATGTGTACCCACGCACAAATAGATGAATGTTAAAAAAAAAAAAATCAAACCAGTATCCAGCCAAAAGAGTACTGACCAGTGTGCCAGTAAATAGACTCGCCAAATCAAGTTAAACAGCACCCAATTGGGCTTCCAGGGGGGCCAAAATAAAAGCCCATTCCTAGCAGACTCCTTTGATTGCTCAACCTCCCACGGAGTCTCGAAGCATAGACTTCCACACACAGGAAGCAGGCTCCTAGAGTGAAACGGCAAGAAGGGTTACATTACTGGGGAACCCTCCACATTACAGTGTTGGTCACCCCTCAGCCATTATACCCTCTTCTTTGTGGCCAAAATCATGAATGTTTTTAAGAAAAGCTGAAACGAATCATGACCCTTAAGATGGTATATTCCAGAAAGGGCACATGAGGCACTCTTGCCCAATGTGATGTCTGCAAAAGTCAATGAGTTCCTTTGTTCTCCCA